AGGTGTGTCATAGGCTGTCATCTTTACGGAAGCAGATCACCGGTCTTTTTCCCACAGAATCGCTGGTAGGTTCAAACTGTCAGTCTTTCGGTTAGCAGCCAAACGCTTAACATTGCACCACCAGTGCTTTCAGGGTAGGTACTCATAGTGACCTTGTAGGAACAGAGTAGTACTTCCAAGGAGTAGCTGGTGGATTCAGACTGCCGATATTTTGGTTAGCATCCTGAGCTCTTAACTAAAAAAATTCAGTACATGTTTATCAGATGGCTGGCTGGTCAAGCTGTGACTGTGGAGCAAGTTGCTATCCCATTCAGAAAACAAACATGTACCCTAGACTTGATTCATCCATATTCTAAATTAGTGACTTCCCGTTTGATTGTGAATCCTGTAAGTGAAAAATGTTTTGATTATGCATTCCCAGTATATGCATATTTATTCATAAATGATAATACTAATAGTATACATAGTAAAACGTATACAAAAATAAATGAATGAGTTAAAGATGAAAGCCACAATATTTTCATCATAATTTTAATTTTATTAATAATAAACCTGTTGCCATCGAGTTGATTCCAACTCTGAGTGACCCTATAGGACAGAGTAGAACTGCCCCATAGGACTTCCAAGGAGTGGCTAGTGGATTCGAACTGCTGACCTTTTGGTTAGCAGCCGAGCTCTTAATTACTACACAACCAAGCCTCCAGCAGTGGTAGGATCCAAACCCATTGCTGTCAAGTCGATTCCGACTCATAATGAGCCTGTAGGACAGAGTAGAACTGTCCCATAGAGTTTCCAAGGAGCGGCTGGTGAATTCAAACTGCTGACCTTCAGGTTAGCAGCCGAGCTCTTAACCACTGTGCCACCAGGGCTCCTTATTAATAATACACAAAGTAAAATGATGCTTCTTCATTCTTTAAAATCTTGGCTTAACATTTTGTGATACAGCTATTCAGAGACCTGGTTCTAAATTCAGTTTACTTTGGTACTTGGTTTTATTGGCTGTCAAAGCCTTGATCAAAATGGGGGCATTTGGCTACACTTTTGAAGTCATGATGCTCTTTGTTTTTTAAGACTTACTCACCACTTAAGAAATGTTTGGTTGAAATTTCTGCAAAGAAATTATCTAGTAAATTTCCATCTATTAGTTTTTCTTGCAGACTACTCAGAATGTATTGCATTCTTTTTTTTTTCTTGTGCTTTAAGTGAAAGTTTATAGTTCAAGTTAGTCTCTCATACAAAAATTTATACATACATTGTTATGTGACCCTAGTTGTTCTCCCTATACTGTGACAGTATACTTCTCCATTCCACCTCGGATTTCCCATGTCCATTCAACCAGTTCATGACCCTCTCTGCCTTCTCATCTCACCTCCGGACAGGAGCTGTCCATTTAGTCTCATGCATTTACTTGAGCTAAGAAGCATGCTCTTCACCAGTATCATTTTATCCCATAGTCCAGTCTAATCATTGTCTGAGGAGTTGGCCTCGGGAATAGTTTTAGTTTTGGGCTAACAGAGAGTCTGGGGGCCATGTCTTTCAGGGTTCCTCCAGTCTCAATCAAGCCATTAAGTCTGGTCTTTTTACTAGAATTTGAGTTCTGCACCCCACTTTTCTCCTCTGTCAGGGACTCTCTGTTGTGTTCCCTGTCAGGGAGGTCATTGGTGGTAGCGCGGCACCATCTGGTTCTTCTGGTCTCAGGCTGATGCAGTCTCTGGTTTATGTGGCCCTTTCTGTCTCTTGGGCTAATACTTTCCTTGTGTCTTTGGTGTTCTTCGTTCTCCTTTGCTCCAGGTAGGTTGGGACCAATTGATGCATCTTAGATAGCTGCTTGCTAGCTTTTAAGACCCCAGACGCCACTCACCAAAGTGGGATGCAGAGCATTTTCTTAAAAAACTTTGTTATGCCAGTTGACCTAGATGTCCCCTGAAACCATGGTCCCCAGACCCCTGTCCCTGCTACTCTGTCCCTCAAAGTGTTTGGTTGTATTCAGGAAACTTCTTAGCTTTGGTTTAGTCCAGTTGTGCTGACTTTCCCTGTATTGTGTGTTGTCCTTCCCTTCCCCTAAGATACTTCTTATCTACTGTCTGATTAGTGAATACCCCTCTCCCTCCCTCCCCACCCTCGTAACCATCAAAGAATGTTTTCTTCTGTGTTTAAGCCTTTTCTTGTGTTCTTATAATAGTAGTCTTATATAATATTTGCCCTTTTGCTACTGACTAAATTCACCCAGCATGATGCCTTCCAGATTCCTCCATGTTATGTTTCATGGATTCATCGTTGTGTAGTATTCCATTGTGTGAATATACCATAATTTGTTTAGCCATTCGTCTGTTGATGGGCACCTAGGTTGTTTCCATTTTTTTGCTATTGTGAACAGTGCTGCGATGAACATGGGTGTACATATATCTATTCGTGTGATGGCTCTTATTTCTCTAGGATATATTCCAAGGAATGGGATTGCTGGATTATACGGTACTTCTAATTGTAGCTTTTTAAGGAAGCTGTATTGCATTCTTTTAATGCTAATAGGTTAAAAAAAATCACAGAAAATCTACATTTGGAGGATTTTTTAAAAGGTTAGAAAATTGTTTCCAACTTTTTAAAGCATACAGATATGAGAGTTTTTTGTTTTGTTTTTTGTTTTTAGGTAACGTACATTGTTTCAACAGCGGAGTCATTTAGTATTAGAAATGTTTTCAAATATCTATTTTTGAAATGCTCTCTTCATTAGTACAAGGTAGTCTTTACTTTTTGTTTTGGAAAAACACTTTTCAAACATGTTAAAACTTTGTTTTTCCCCTTTTTAAATATCTTCTTGGTAGCATACTACTTACTAGCAAATTTGGAACACTAGTCTTTTTATAAAAGAATCGTGTAACTCGTCTATGTTTAATAAATCTTTTAAGTAACTTTACCTTGTGGTAACTAGAGGATTAAAAAAGAAAAAGATTTTGATGCCTACTTCCTGTCTCTTTACAGAGTGTAGGAAAGATTCTACTGTATTGTAAAGGCCTTGTTTTGATAAAATTAACCTCGTGACATCCTAGGGCACTTTGTGCACCCCTTTTGCTATGACTTATTTTCAGCAGTACTTTACTTGTCAATGAAGCAGTGAATGACTATCACTTAAGTGCTATCTTTGTAGCTCTATTCTGAAATTCTTTTTTTTTATTCCAGTCAAAGCAGCCATTCCATCAGTGGTTACACTTCACGGTTTTCCCACAAAGCACATTGTTTCATTTACAGTTGAGACTATATCCTTTTCAGTACAACCTCCATTTAGTAGCTAGCAAAAATCCAATCTTAGCGTATTTCCTAATTACCAAGAAAATACTCTAAGATGAAACAAACATCTTTATTTTGATTCAACTGTATAGCATATCTCCCACACTCTAATTGGTCCTGGTGTCTTCAGCTCTTCAGAGTTTTCTAAGAGCTTTTGGCTGTGTTTCCCAATAAAAGGATACGTTTTAGTTTGTCACCATATTGTTTTCCACGTATTGTTTCAGCCATTTTTACTATGGTCCATGGCTTTTTGTCTCTTCAGTTTTCTGAAGTGCTGGATTAAGTAGCATGTGACTTCAGTTATAAATATTATAGAGGTTTCTCTCTTGCTGTGGATGTGTAATTTTTAAAGGCCTGGCATATTATGATACTTTGTTAGTATCATTAAGCTGTATCTTAAGTCACAGTATACCTTTAGGGTGAGGTTCCTCTTTAATAAATATGGGTATAAAATAAATATACAGAGAAATACTAATATTTTACCCCAGAGGATCGTCTTGCAAACCCTTAAGGTACATATATATCCTACTTTAAGTTAAAGTAAAACAAAAAGTAATTTATTTTCCTCTATAAATTCATATTTGGGAGACAGATTTAAGAAGAATCAGCTTTAGCTTGAGGTTTAAAGAATGAGTGCTTTAGCCATAAACTGTCTGCGAATGTCATATCTCACTAACTAGGAAACCCTAGAGAATAATGGAAGGATTATTGGTTAACTTGTGACATTGTGCAAGTATTGAAAGGATAAATTATATGAAGGAATGTTTTGCCAGTAGCTTTTGACCAAAAAGGCTAATTGCTGTTTTTGTTTTGTTTTTAAATATACTTTGTAATTATTTTTGTTGAGAGGCATTTGGAAGATGGTTTTTCTCCATTTATAGGAGAGATGGTTCATAGCCACTTAACCCAACCCATTGCCGCTGAGTCGCTTCCAACTCAGAGTGACCCTATAGGACAGAGTAGAACTGCCCCCTAGCGTTTCCAAGGCTGTAGACTTTATAGAAGTAGACTGCCACACCTTTCTCCCATGGAGCAGCTGGTGGGTTCAAACCTCTGACCTTTTGGTTAGCAGCCTAGCTGCTGAACCACTGCATCACCAGGGTTCCTTCATAGCCAGTTAGGATCTCTTATAAAAAGATACTTTTTCATAATATACTTTATCAAATTTACTAAATTTACTTCATTGCATTTGTATCAGTCAAGACTCTTTTCTTTGGAAGAGATGGAAAACTAATATAAGCATGAGCAAATAAGAGAATTTGTTGGCTCATAACCAACGTTCACGACTGGTCTCAAGGACTTTAAACCGTGTTTCAAGATGTCTGTTAGTCTGTCTCTTTGTTACCTTTGCTTTCTCTGTAATAGCTTCATTCTCTTTTAGAGCATAAAGTCTTCCACCATGTGGTGGCGTGGTGAGGGAGAGTGGCTTTCCTCTAGTCCCTGTAGATAAAATCCCACTGGCAAGATAGGAGTATATGTGATTGCATGTGTGCTGTGACTGGCAGTCCTACAGAACCACATGGAGTGGGGAAGGAGCAGTTTCCAAGGAAAGGGTTGCTATTACCACAGAGAGGATGGGATACTAGGAGTCAAAAGCAATTGATGTTTATTACAGCATTTGTGGTGACGAGGAGTAGAGGACAGGAAGGGCATAAAATATTCTTTAAAGTAATAAAACGACTTAACTTTATTTTCCTAATCGCTGATTTTTGTAGAGTATGCAAGCTGCAAGATGTCCTACAGATGAATTATCTTTAACCAACTGTGCAGTTGTGAATGAAAAGGATTTCCAGTCTGGCCAGTGAGTATCTAACTTTGTTTTCCTCTAACCTACTGAGTGGTGTTTTAGAAACTTCTGGAGAGTTCTTATTTTTAGGGAAACTTTTGAGAATAATTTTTTTATTCCTGTTACTGAGTTGGAAAATGGAAGAAATGAGAAAGAGTTGTGTATTTCAGTCTTTACTGTGTCAAACTTTGATTAACGTAATGTTTTAAAATATATAACTTAATTTTTTATTGATTTTTCTTAGCAGAGCTAAATATACTGGTTATGTGAATTGTGTATAGCATAGTTGTTAGGTGTTGGACTCGACTCAGATTGTCTGAGTTTGGATCTTGGCTCTGCCAATTACACACTGGGTGACCATAGATAAGTTATTTCCCATTTCTGTGCCTCTGTATCCTAATCTGTAAAGTGAGGATGATAATGATATTTTTCTCAGGGTAGTTGTGAGGATAAGGTGACTTATACAAATAAAGCACCGAGAATAGTGTCTAGTGCATTAATAAGCACTCAATAAATAGTAGCTATTATGATCAATATTACTATGATAATCTGAGACATGAGAATTTGAAGATGCACAACAAATGTAGAATCTTTACAACTACTTTTTGTCATCATTTATCTTTAACTGGTTCATGTCACCCACTGCCAGAACTTCTAAAGAGCCTGCTACCAAGTTCAGTGCCATCCATGTGCTTCTGAGGTTGGTAGAGGTAAGGAGATGAAGGGGCTGTACCAGAAGGCAGACGAGGGAATAAGGAACAAGGAGGTAGATTTCTAATTAGCCTTTTTTAAAAAAGCTATCTGTGAAATACCTGAGTTCCACAGAGTTAGAATTGCTAATCAGCTGTGGTTTCCAGCTTCATAGTAAGGGACTTATGTAGACTACATGATTGTATTAGCATTGTTTCTAGTCCTAAAAATTCTGTGATGACGAGTTAAACACAGAACTTGACACAGATAAACTGAAGTACAATCACTGTGAGATTTTATTTGTTTATGGAATTCTTACACACATGTCAAATGTTCACAGTACTCATGATGGAGCTACTTAAAATATAATAGATAAGGAACTTATGTTCTAGTAGCAAAATGATGTATATAAACATTAATCATTAATAAAAAATTATAGTATTCTAAAAGATATTTTTACAAAAGAGGGTGCTGTTGCATAACAGAGTTTGAAGCTTCTGCCTCACATATAGTCCTTGTTAGCATCTTGGTGTAGGAGAGTATCCTGAGATGAGTATATTTTATTTATGGGTAACTCCTGAGCAGGGTGAATTAGCACAAAATTCTTTGAAATAGTAAATAATTGATATTTACATAAAAGCTAATGTATTTTGTGAAAAGTACTTCCTTCTTGCCATCTTTTTCATGTTACAGATTGTTATTGTTTTAGCCTGTTATAAGAGTCTGCAAAGAGATTTAATGACTTGTCCTACAAACTAAAAACACTTATGTTTTTTTTTGACCACTATGTCCTGGCTCATCTGTTTTTGTTCTGCTCCTTATTATTTTATTGGGTGTGAAATAATTTTCAGGAGAGGAAATTTATCTAGTTTCTACTTAATTATCAAGGACTCTAGATTACTAGCTTCAGTTTTATTGAAATTTGAAGTGTAATAAAATTGATGGTGTATTGTATGGAACTTGGCCGCATTTTACTTGTGTGTTTGGCCAGAGGTGCTCCTTGCAGCCTAGGAAGCATCTGAGTTGCTGTCAGTTTTTGGAGATAAATTTGTGGTTCTATTTTTTCAAGTCTCTTGTATATTTCCATGTTTCTGCCTCGTACTCATCAAGCATCAGTTGTTGGGAATGAACACATTTGAAAATTATGTTCTTCATTTCCTTTGACATGGAGTACTGACTGTGTTTCTGTCTTTCAGGCATGTGGTTGTGAGGACCTCACCCAACCATAGGTATATATTTACACTGAGGACCCATCCATCAGTGGTTCCAGGGAGCATTGCATTCAGCTTACCCCAGGTAACTCTGATGTTAGTTTATTCTCTTCTATTCTTGGAAGTCATAGGAATATCAATTTATTTAAAGCAAACATCACCCTATAACTGTATTGGTTCATATTAAAGAAAATCATCTAAGTATTATATAAGGAATTTAAAGGGATATTCTTAATTGCTGATTTTTATTATGTCTGCCTTTTATTGCCTTGATGTTTTTCTGATTTTTAAAAATTCTGCAGTAGTTATCAGTCAACTGTCAGATAAAAGTGTCAAGTTATTCTAATGTTAACTTCCTGGGAAACAAAATATATAAAAATAATATTTTATTTGTAAAATTGACATCTAATAGTAATGATTTTAGAATGTAATGCTGTCAGACTAATAATGAATATGATTAGAGTAGTAGTTATCTCAAATTAAAACCTAATATGCTGGGGTCCCCTAATGACTAGAAGGGTTATGATTACAGTTATAATGGTTGGTGGAGTCTTTGTTTTTTCTTTTTTTATTGTAGTAGTCTAAATGAAGTTTACATTTCAAGTTAGTCTCCCATACAGAATTTTATACATACATTGTTATGTGACCCTAATTGCTCACCCCATTCTGCAACAGCACACTCCTCCTTTCCGTCCTTGATTCCCCATGTCCAATCAACTAGCTCCTAACCCTCTCTGCCTTCCCATCTCACCTCTGGACAGAAGCTGCCCCTTTGGCCTCTTGTATCTACTTGAGCTAAGAGGCACACTCCTCATGATTATCACTTTATGTCCCACAGTCCAGTCCAATCCCTGTCTGAAGAGTTGCCTTCGGAAATTACTTTAGTTCTGGGCTGATACAGAATCCAGGGGCCATGCTTTCCGGGGTACCTCCAGTCTCAGTCAGACCATTAAGTCTGATCTTCTTACTAGAATTTGAGTTCTGCACCCCATATTTCTGCTGGTCCATCAGGGACTCTGTGTTGTGTTCCCTGTCAGGGCGGTCATTGGTGGTAGCCGGGCACCATCTAGTTCTTCTGGTCTCAGGCTGATGAAGTCTCTGGTTTATGTGGCCCTTTCTGTCTCTTGGGCTAATACTTTCCCTGTGTCTTTGGTGTTCTTCATTCTCCTTTACTACAGGTGGTTGGGACCAACTGATGCATCTTAGATGGCCGCTTGCAAGCTTTTAAGACCCCAGATGCCACTCTGTTGGTGGATTCTTTGGAAGAAAAATTGCCTAGCACAGTCCCAGGCACATAGTATAGGAACACCACAAATACTAGTCTGTATGCCTTTCTCCCTTATCATCATACTCATGCAGCTAGTCTCACAATCCTAAGCAATGTGAGTGCAATCCTACCTCCTTCTAATGTGTTATAATAAGCTTTCACTAAGTCTCCACTCACTATTCCCCTTTGTTTGGATGCCTCGCCATAATCAGGACTACTTTTCATGTTTGTTTCTATAGATTAAAGGTTTGGAATGATCAGATTCCTGGGTACCCCAGGTTTTACGGAGCTCCATTTGGGATTCTGGTATCCAGGAGTAGCTTGAGGTGTGGCTGTTTATCCTTGTCTCTCTGCTTTTTTAAAAAAAACATTTCTTCAACATTTACTCTGTGTCAGGCATTATTCTAAGCACTTTTTGCATGTGTTGGCTCATTTAATTCTTATAACAACCCCATAAGGTAGGTACTGCTATTATAATGGAGTTCCTTGGTGGTGCAAACGATTCATGTGCTCAGCTGCTAACCGAAAGATTGGAGTTTCGCGTCCACCCAGAGGCGCCTCGAAAGAAAAGCCTGGCAATCGACTTCCAAAAAATCAGCCACTAAAACTCTATGGAGCACAGTTCTATTCTGCCCAAGCTTTTCTTTAATATGGTTACAAAATGATGATTTTCCAGCGGTAGCACTCCTTCCACTCCACTAACTTCTGTGGAGGCTGTCTTAGGATTGAAATACAGAACCTAAATGTGATTTCTTTGTGACCCAGTCTGGACTTAAGCAGCATGCTGCTAAATTTCAGGTTGGCAGGAAGTGGGATGGCATGTTACAGAAGTCCTTTAGGGGAGGCGAAGGGCAGAGACGAGGTAGAAGTGACCTACAATAAGAAAGCTGGAAGGGAGAACACTTGTCGTACATGTTCACCTTGCAACATCTAAGCTATGCACCAAAGTCCACAGTGTTCGGATGAGTAGGCAAGCTATTGATTTTCAGCCCAAAATGATTTTCTCACTGTTCTTTGTAGTGTTACCAGTAATTACTAATTTTGAACCTATGCAAACGAGTTCCAAATTCCTGCCTCAACACAGTCTGGCTTGGCTCTGTGAATTCTTACCATTGTTAACTAGTCAGGATTTGGGAAGAGGCTAAATTCTGGTTGCAACTGCCTGAAAATCCTTTGGCTAGTACACAACTAGTAGTCATGACCATCTAACAATTTTAATCCCTGCGTGGGTTTCAATATAGATTATCTGACCAGTTTTTTTTTTTTTAATAATATTTTATTGTGTTTTTGATGGAGGTTTACACAGCAGTTTAGGTTCCCATTCAACAACTTCTACACATATTGTTCAGTGACATTGGTTACATTCTTCACAATGAGTGAATGTTCTCATTATTTCCATTCTGGTTGTTCCATTTCCATTAATCTAGTTTCCCTGCCCCCTTATATTCTTACCTTTGTTTTAAAGTAACTGTTGACCGTTTGGTCTCATGTAGGTGATTTTTTTTAAAGGAGCACAGTACTTGTGGGTGATATTCATTATGTGAGCCATTCTGTTATTTAGCTACAAGGTAACCTCAGGGGTTTTGGTTCAAGGTTTGAAGAGTATCTTAGGGCAACAGTCTCGGGGAGTCCTCCAGTGTCACCCAGTATAGTAAGTCTGGTTTTGTTTGTTTGTTTTGTTTTGTTTTTAGGAATTTGAGGTTCTGTTCTACATTTTTCTCCCATTCTATCAGGGTCCAACTATTGTGGCCCTGATTAGAATGGTTGGTAGTGATAGCTGGACACCATCTAATTCTTCTGGCCTCAGGGTAGATGAGGCCATAGTATGCGTAGAGTATTTGTCTTGTAGACTAGTTTCTCTTTTGAGCCTTTGGTTTCCTTCTTTCTCTTTTGCTCTGGACATTAGCTACCAAGAGTTGTATCTTAGATGGCCATTTGCAAGCTTTTAAGACCCCAGACACTACTCATTAAACTAGAATGTAGAATTTTATGAACTATATTATGCCAGTTGTCCGAGATGCCCCATGAGACTATGGTCCTAATTCTTCAAACCCAGAAAACCAATCCTGTGAGGTGTTTGGTTATGTCTGTGAAGTATCTGTAACTTTACTGACCAGTTTTAATTTGGTTTTCTTGAACTGAATATCTTTCTTTTTGTGATACTGTAACAAGCAGTGTAGCTCACTACAGCACATTCAGAACACTGAAATATCTGATATCACCAAGACTTTCAGGAGTGTTATATTGTGCAAAGGAGCATCCTACTCAATGCTACTGGCTTTACTGCAAAAAGACAAGCTTTGTATATTTTGGAAACAGGTATTCAAATCCATACTATATATAGTATGCCATGTTTTGGTCTTTGAATGTGTTCCTGAAATTCATAGAAATTCTTCTTTTCCTCGTTTCTCTAATTTTGATTGATTTGGTTTTAAGTACCTTTTTTTTTTTTTTTCTCTTTTATTTTACAGCGAAAATGGGCTGGACTCTCTATTGGACAAGAAATAGATGGTAAGTATAGTTTTTAGCTACCTGAGATAGATTTTCTTTATAATTTTCATGCAGTTACTGAGATCTGTACAATTTTCTATTACTGGTTGTCAGGCTATTAAACGTTCATTCTAGTCAGATTACTGGTTAGGTCTATGAGAATGGACAGGACATAGTCATGGTACCTATGTCCCCACCTCTTTATCTGCCTACCTCTCTGCATGGAGATTACAATCTAATGGGGGAAAGAACATCCACATATTCATAGCTCTCAGAATATCTACCAGGAAAATATGTGCACAAATATTTACTATTAGGAGCTCTGTGTAAAAGAGTGAATGAATTGACTGGAGACCAGAAAGATTGCCAGCAAAGTCTTGCTGTGCATTGGAGTTTTGAGCATGATTATGAAGTAGGTGGAAAGCATCACACGGTAGAGACAAGGGAGAAAGGCTTTTAGGATGACAGATAATATAAACGAAAGGCATAGGGATGGGAGCAAGCAAATCATAGGTGGTTCTCAGGAAGTATGTTTGCCTGATTGAAAGGGACAATGGAGTGGGTTGTATTAAATGATGAGAGTTTTAGCGTATTAGGGGAGGACCTAGAGTACATACTAAAAATTTGGATTTTACACAAATACAGTTGAGAGCTCTTGAGGATTTCTGAATGGTCCAACCAAAATCCTGCCTTTAGAAAAGGATTCTCATTTTGGTGTGGAACACAGTAAGGAATGGCGAGAAGTCATGAATTGAAGAAAATGGTTTGGAAGTTATTTGACTTGTCTAGGGGTAAGTTGAATAGGATTTTTGAAAATTATGGTTACGGGAATTTAAAAAAGAAAAAGTCAAAATTAGGTTGAAGAAGAATAGTTGGTATTACCCACCCACTGCCATCGAGCCAATTCTGACTCATAGCAACTGCATAAGGTCTCCAAGGCTGTCAATCTCTACAGAAACAGACTGTCACATCTTTCTCCTGTGGAGCTGCTGGTGGTTTCGAACCACTTACCTTTCGTTAGCAGTCAGTCGCTTTAACCACTTGTTGTTACAGTACCTGGTAATTCCATTTTACTCTATGCTGAGGTATAGTTTCTTCTTTTGTGTTTTTCTAGGAAGATAAGTCAGATTTGTGGAAGGGATAGTTTAGGTTAAGGAGGAGAAGAAAGGGTGGCAATACATAAGCAGGTGGTGTAATTTTCTCAGTGAAGGGTGTTTTGAGGTCATCGTAGTTCATTAGAGAAGGTCAAGGAAAGCAATTTATAACTTCGGGGGGAGAAAAGATTTAGCCACTTGTGGATTGTCTAAGTCAAGGAACTAAGAAGAGAAAACTGGTATTGTCTGTTAGGCAGTGTTGCTAAGTCGGGAAAATGAAGTATGAATCTTTTTCATCAGATAATTTCATGTCAACTTTATGGACACAGTAGGAGAAGAAAAGAAAATACAAGTGTAACTAAGCCAGTTGACTTAATTTTGTATGTATAGAAAGGTTGCAAGAACAGTACAGAGAGTTTTCGTGTACTCCCTTGCCCAGATTCAGTAATTATCATATTTGCTTTATTATTATCTCTGTCTCTCTCTTTCTATATACATACACACTCACAGGCATGCATATGTACATACATATATACATATTGCTTTTCTGAATCATTTGAGATTAAGTTGCAGAAATCATGTCTCTTTATCTCTAATACCTTAGTGTGTGTTTCCTAAGATCAAAGATGTGCCTCTGACGGTATAGTTATCAAATCCAGCACATTAAATGTTGATACTTTTATCTAACTTATAGCTCATATTCTTTTTTTTTTTTTGATTGCGGTGTGATTACTTTTTTTTTTTATTGTTGTAATTAAATGAAGTTTACATTTCAAGTTAGTCTCCCATACAGAATTTTTTTTTTTTTTTACATACATTGTTATGAGACCCCAA